TGTCTCGCTTAAGATGGCAGCGGAGTCAGGGGAACTGATCGGGGCATGCGAGTTCATGAAAGGTGAGGAGAAGCCGCCCCCCACCCTGCAACCTTCACCTCCCCAACTCCTCCTTTTGCCCCTTCGTCCCCGCCTCTGCCCACGGAGTCTCCCGGGGCCCCGGGTCCTGTAGCCACGGCGCGCGCACTCGGGTCTCCTCTGCTCCTCTGCTATCCCCGAGGACCCCTTGCTTCCGGCTTCTCTTTCTTGCCTCCCTGGTTCCCTCTGCAGCAGCGCCCTGCTAGTGGGACAGCGCCGGCTTCTGCCTGAGCTGCTCCACTGAGCAGCTCGCGGAGCTTTTGCGCGGGTTAATCCTCTCGGTGTGCTTTACCCCACCGTGGTTGGCCTAGGTTTTCGAGACAACTCCACCCACACGCCCGTGTTTCTCCTGCCTTCCTTTTCTTGAGGTCCCCGGAGCTGCAGGGGAGAGGCTCGCCTCTCTGTTCCCCTTCCGCAGCTGCTGAGGTCTGGAGATTTCGGAACCAAACTTGCACCTCCAGTTTCGCGGGTACCCTAAGCTTAGGTCTACACTCGCTGGTCTAACACTGGGAAGAGCAGCTCCCCGCACCTCCCCGGAGAGTCCCTGGGTCTGGAACTCATGTCTCTCACTTCTCTTAACTTGTGCTCATGTTGAGCTTTTGGGTCTCTGGAAATCATGTTTCTGCCACGTGTTAATGGGGTCTTTAAATTATGTGCAGCTAGTTGTTATTTTTGATCTTTTGTACACGATTACACCCATTATGCCACTTCCCTACTTCTCATATGTTTTCTTCTGTGTTTTAAACTTGTCTTTCAGATCGGTTATATTTTGCTACTCTAAGGAATAGACCAAAAAGCACAGTACATACCCACTATTTCTCCATCGATGAGGAGCTGGTGTATGAAAAGTAAGTTTCTATTTTTTTCCCCCTCAAACCATTTGGCTTATTGGCTCTTTAGTTGAAGATATACTGTGTACTTTTATTTACTTTTTCCCTCAATGAGGTAGGTAACACTATTTTTTTAAAAGCTTTAAATGCTTGGGGAGAGGTGCAGGGAGAAATAGCATAATGAATCTGTCAACACCTCAGTCTCTTTAGACTTCTGTGTATACTAGTTCTTCCTACTCCCACGATAAGCAGCAACTGTTAGATTCCTAACACTCCGAGTGGGACCGGGCAGTCACAGCTCTGTTGTTACCAGACTGTCACTGGCTTGTGAGTCAGTCACCAAGTATTTATGCAGCACCCACGGGGTACAGGGTAGTGCGTTCACGACAAGTGCTTAAGCTTGGCGTTTCACAAGGCTTCTGTTGTGTCTCAGGATGTTTTTGTTTGTACAGCTTGTGTTCATAAAGTGGGACACATAAGCTGCAGGCAGCTGTGTCCAGCTCGTATCTATGAGAGAGATTTTGCTTGAATGGCAGATTACTGATTGAATTATTTAGGTGCCTCAAGCTTGGTATATTTTCTTTGCCTTTGAAAAAGTGGTATGAGTTCTCATTACTTACTTCCTTTGCTTCTGTGGGATTAGGATTTGAGAAGATAAAATATTAAGCAACCGTTTTCTGTAAAAGATAGTAAAGAAAGTATTTTAATGCATTAGGCGTTAAAAATTAATTGAAGCGAGGTAAATTTTCATTCAAAAAGGAACAGATAATAAGACTGAATGGTCTTGGCTATATCCTTTTAAGAGCTGGTATTACAGAAGAGCTTACTATATTCTAATTTAAACATTGAATTTTACTTTCTTATCATAACCAAACGTGCAGCTGAATGAACGTAGTTAAATGAACGTAGTTAAATGAACTCGTAAGAGTTGTCCTGTTAAAAATGATTTTGGCAGTTTTGCCTGAGGATTTGTGGGTAGCCCCTGGCCAACAAAGATCGAGTTTTCTGAACTTTAAGGGCATATTTTTTATTTGAGGAAAAAAATCTTTGTCACATCATCATAGATTTTCTTGAACTGATGTTTTCAGGACATTTCTCTTAGCGGTGCTGGGATCCTGAGCTTCTTGAAAGGCTGAGGTGAGAGTGGGAATGAAAGAGCCCTTTCCTGCTGCTCGTCAGTGCCCAGGGCTGCTGAGACGGAGGTCTAAATCCCCGGTGTCAGGTTACAGCTCTGCTCCTAGACAAATGGAGTGTTCTGCACAGCCTGATCCCTGACCATGTGTACCTGGATGATGTCACTGCCAGCAGTGTTTACTGAGTGGTCATCTATTGTTGGCAGTGGGCATTGTTGTGGCTTTCCTTTTGTGAGTTTAGGGTTTAGGGATCTCTGAGGTAAAGAGTTTGTAAATGCCTTCGTGTTCCATCCTGCAGTGACTAAGGTACCAGAGATTATTAATTTGCCATTGAATGGGCTCCAGTCATTGAGGTCTGAGTCACTTCTCTTGGGATTGCTAGGTGGCAGATCTAGCAGAAAATTATATTCAGCCAGCTAAACACAGTGCACAATGGCTTTTTGAGTCTAATATTGACATGTGAGGAAAACATTTCCTGTGCAATTTTAATGCTGGTATTTTAGGATAGGGCTGGCTACAAATCATACACTTTTTGTATTTATTCCACTGTATTTCTGGTGTCTTGTAAGGAACAGCTTGCTTGAGGCTATTCATTTCATCTTGTGAGTTTGGATGTCGTTGGAAGCCATCATGAACACTCATTCTGGTCAGAGTGTGTGCCTCTCTTAGTTTGCGCTCGCCCTCGCATGCCACAGCAGGGCTGCGGTTCTTATCACCCCATCTCTTTTGCTTCCCCAGCGTATTGTGCAGTGCTGGATGGTACAGAAATAAAATGATGATGACTGCAGAGGATAGGAGCTGCTAAGCAGCAGGGTGAATATCAGGACTGCAGCTAGAGGTACAGGAAAGGAAACTATCCTGAGAGGAGCACAGCCCTTGGGCGGAGAGGATCTCAGGATGGTGGGGCGTGTCTGGTGGGAGGGTTCAGAGAAGGCTTTCTGGGGGAGTTGAGGTTGGCTTGGAGGATGGATGGGGTTTTATTCAGCAGGAGCATGAGAGGAAAGAGAAGAAAGAATGACAAGAATGAGGAGGAGGATCAGGACATCTGCTGAGGGAACACTTTGCCTGGTGTGTACGCAGGTCACATGGGGGGAAATGTGGAGTATGAACCTGAGAGGTCAGCTGGGGACAGATTGATTGCCAGGGTGAGGAACCTGCAGTTTCCTCGGTATGCTATGTTTGTGCTCTTGTGAGAGTTCTGGGCAAATATGGTGTGACTGGATTTGGGCTAATTGCAAACAATGGCAAACATTTACTGAGCATCTAAAGGTGTGGCAGGTGCTCTTCTAGGTGTTCCACAGATAACCATTTTTTTTTCAAAATAATACTGTGAGGCAGGCACTATTGCCATCCTATTGCTCAATGATGAAAATAAGGGATAGAGTGGTTAGGTAACTTGCCCAAGGTCACAGAAATAAGCAGTAACAGAGCTGGAGTATAAAACTAAATCTTCTGGTTCCAGAGGACATATGCCCTTATTTCAAAAATTAACATAGTAGCATCACTCAAGGGAGATTAGAGAGAAGGTACGAACCTACACAGAAAGATTCTGGAATGTCTGATGGGGGAGAAACAAGTATCTTAGCTAGATTAGGATGAGGGCTATGATGATGGAAAGAAGGGCTCTGAATCCATGTGACGTGGCAGCAGATCAGGTGGGTTACATGTTGCGGGGTTGAGGAAAAAGAGCCAAAGAAGTTTTTAAGACAGCCTGGGTGGTGAGCCTGCAGGTGTTAGAACAGAACTGAAACAAGGAAATAGGGCAGAAGAATTGGCTTTGGTGGGAAGATCCAGCTTTCCATCTTAGCCAGAATGAGTTTAAGAAATGCAGAGGAAGTCTAGAGAGGTGGCAATGATGGTAGTCCGGGTAGGAGGATCACAAGTTGCAGCCTAGCCTGGGCACCTTAGTGACTTAGCAAAATAAAAAATAAGAAAGGTCTGGGGATTTGCTTGGTGCCAAAGCTCTGGGTTCAATCCACCGTAGTTGGGGGAAAAGTCAAGGCATATTCACATCACTGTTGAATATCACGTAAATTTGGTGTTCTTAAATTTGGGAGTTTCCCAAAGAGATGATAAAGCTGTAAGAATGGTGCAGTTTCTGGGGAGGAAGAGAAGATATATCTCTGTATCTTACAAGTAGGGCTAGGTTGAGAGAAGCAAGGGAAGAAGTAAATAGCCAAATAGGTGGAGATAAACTGAAGGAGAGGGAGGGAAAGTCGGGAGGGACAGAGGCAGCAGAGTCCATCTCTACAGCTCCACTTCTGGGACGTGAGGACTGCCCAGTCTCTAGGAGGACATGTGACATCCTGGATTCTGTCTGTGGAGGGTGTCCTGTGGGGAGAAAGCTCATGACTATTACATCATAATGTATATGCCTCTACGGAAAGGGCTCTCTTTGTATACAGCAACACATAGGGTCTCTGTAGCCCTATAAGTGTGTAATTATTTGATGACTGCTTCAATGAAATGCTACCATTCTAGCTAAATTATCACCTTAGAAACTATTAAGTAGACTCTTTAAATATTAGGCTACAGATCTTCTGGACACAGCAGTGTCATGTGCAGATGTTTATTTAGTTATGAAAGGATGATAGAACTCCATGATTAAAATGACAACCTTCTGAGAGAAGCCAGTGGAGAAAATTAAGTCACCTCATGAGGTTGAGGCTATTAGAATGAAAGTTCGAATTTGCTTCTTGATTTTAAAACAACTTATCTCATCTCTGTAGGCCTGATTAGTTTTAATGAAATGTGTATAATAAGAACTAATTCTTTGTCCTTAGGTCAGAATTTCAAGTCAGAATTAAAACAGAGTATAGGCCAGCGGTGTAGAACCTATGGCACACGTGCCACGGCAGACTATTTGTTATCATTGAAAGCTCTAAAAGGTTCGCCATCACTGGTATTGGCTAACATCCTTGTGGTACAAACATAGCCCCTTGAACAGGGAGCCTTTCAAGGAAGATTATCTGTACTTGATGAAGCTACAGAAAATACACAATTCTCCAGAAAGGATAATTCTTTGGTATTAAACTGGGCCCTATAATCCAAATGGAGGCGTCATTTTAGTAATCTAGCTCATGATTTTTGGCTCAGGGGTTAGCAACATCAAATGTGTTGATTGTATGGCGTTTATGTGTTCCTCCTAATGGGGATTATGGGTGTAGGTTTGGTGTTAATGGCATGGAAAGCTGGTCAGTAGTGAAGGACACTGTATAGGCAGTGACAGTGAACGTTTTAGAGATTTCAGTGATAACGGACAGCCTGCTGTGGCACGCGTGCCATAGGTTCGCCACCACTGGCATGAGGTCTTCATTTTTAGTCTTGTTCTTTTCATTTCTTCTTTCCTGGTACTTGCAAAGGGAAGGTAATGAAAAAGCAGCAGAGGAGATATCTGCACAGGGAACTAGATTTTAAGCAGTTATGCATAAATTTCACCAAGTATTTTAGCATGGTAAGAATGAGCAGCCTCTAAGTGAGGACTAGTTAGCTAAATGGGAGATATAAATAATCAGTTTTTTAATTTAAACTTTATGAAATCACCCTGATAAATGCAACAAGGAAATTTTAGAAGAATGACTTAAGACTATCCGTCATACAGATTTGAGTCAGAATGTGAACACAGGACATCTTTGAAGTATAGAAAAACTTGTCTTATCTAGAAATATTTTGTGGAATGAATATTTAGGTTAGATGTAGGTGAGAAGAAACCCTTTTAGTTTTCAACTTTTATTTCAAGTTTAATATGTTGCCGGTCAGATTATTTGATGGGAAGTTGTGTTGCCCTCAAACTAATCACACACACACACACACACACACACACACACACACACACACACACATACACACGTGTATATATGATCTTATGGAGCCTCAGGGTCAGCA